GGATGCAAAGGGGATGCCTGTCGCCGATTTGGTGCCTGGTGCATAAATGCTGTCTGTTGCAAAAAGGATGCCTGTTGCAAAAAGGATGCCTGTTGCAAAAAGGATGCCTGTGTTGCCTTGATCTGGAAAATCGTTTCCCTGGTTCTTCCTGCAGTCGTATGGTTGCTTCTGATGTTCTTAGATGGCCAGTACTTTACATGTGCTAAGACGTATTGGGAGGGAAGATTTGTACTGGTGGAGAAAGCACCCCCGCTGAAGTGGTGTGAGCCAGCTAATGAGAGCAAAGCCACCCAACAAGAACTAATGCTGCGCTCACAGAAGCTCCGTTTTAACTCACAGGTGAGTTGAATTTATTGAATTCTAAAGTTTACTCAAGACAAATACAGTAGCACTGATTGACCTTTGCTCAACAACAGTGCACATTCCTCAGTTACTCTCTGCTAAACAAAGTGTTACCTGACTCTTTTGTACCCTAGGTCATAGGCATTTTTATCCTTGTTGTTCTCTGTGTGGTTCTGGTAGCATATCTAATCTGTAAATGCTGCCAACTGGAGCCGCAACCGGAGCCGCAAACAGAGCCGCAACCAGAGCCATATGGTTCCAAGGCAGGTGGGTCTGATGAACCTCAGGAACTGCAACCCTTAAAGGACAGTGAGAGCACACCCACCACAACCCCCTCTCCAACCTCCCTAAACACAATTTTAAAGCACTCTTCCTTCTCTGTATGGGTAAATGAGTTAAACTGAGTTAACTGGCAGCTTAGTAGTGTAAAGAAGGCAGACATGTACACAGCTCCATATCTTCAAGAGACTGCTGTTTAATTTCATCATATATACATATATGGTATATGGTTCCATGTTTATTTTTATGTTCTTGTGAAACGTAAATGTGATGACAGTTGTTTTTGCTTCAGCTCTTGTAATGAAATATGCTTGCAAAAATAAAAACGCTCCAACAAATTGACTGGAAATTAAATAAGGCTTATTTAGAATTTCTTATTAGAAAATGTTTCTTGAAAATGTTTCTTCCAATCAAATCGCAAAGTTAAAAGTAAAGTCCACATTTATTTTATAATTAATTATATCCCAAGCAGTAATGCTGTTAATGTTATTCAATTATTTGCTTTTTGAATACTTGGGGGATTTTTTATTCACTTTTAATTTTTTTTCGGAGACAAACTTTAAAGCAAAACAACCTAATGAAGGCAACAAATGTGCCAAGAATCAGCAGCACAGCTGCAGCTAAGAAAAGCATCACATCTACAGAGTGGTAAGAATACCAGGGGAGTCTGTAGGACTCTGTCCTCAGGTGAGCTGCACCTTTGTTTCTCATGACAAACTCTATCCAGAAGATGGCAGTGTCCATTGGTTTCATCGGCACATCCTTGTGCAGCCTGGAGATTCTCTCCATGTTGACTCTGTAGGAGGGCTCCGTCAGGACTTCTTTAAGTCCCTCGAAAAATATGTCTTCATTCATAGAAAAAAAATCAAGTATTTTCCCTGCTCCTCTGGCTGCGATTCTGACAAAGTTATCATGTTGATCAAAAATCAGTGGCACTCCGAGCAAAGGAACGCCATGGTAAATGGCCTCTTGAATTCCGTTGGTTCCACCATGAGCCACAAAGAGTTTCGTTTTTGGGTGTCCCAGGAGGTCATTCTGTGGCATCCAGTCCACAAGCAGAGTGTTGTTGCCCAGTGTGTCAGGCCTCTGCCCTACATACCTCCAGATGACCTTCTGAGGTAATTTTGCAAATGCTGCAGCGATCTCATTGGCTAAGTCATGAGGGATCTCTCCAATAAAAGTCCCCAGAGACATAATGACCACTCCGTGCTCACCCGAACTTTGCATGAAGTCCTCCAGGTGTTGTGGCAGAGGTTTGGCAGGTTTGCACTGGAATCCTCCCATGTAGATGACATTAGGCATTGTGGGACGAGGGAACTCAAACACAAAGTCCACTCTCATCAGCCACAGGTCTGCAGCTTGAAACAGAGCTTTATAGCTTGCTTCAGGGCCTATATATTTTTTTATCAAGGCACTATAATAAGGGGTATTACAATAGGCAAGCTGAATTTGCATAAAGCCAAAATATACCATGTTAAGAACTCTCTCCAGAAAGTTCATCTTGTCGGACAGCAGAGTACCTGTCAGGGGGATGTAGGAAAGAGGAGAAGGCGCGATATCGAAATGACCTTCACCGTGACTTGTCCATCTGACATTATAAACAAGAGGTAGTCCGAGGTAGTGTGCAAGTATAACGCCTCCAGGGATGGCAGGGTCAGTGAGGACAAGATCAAATTTGGTTTTGTGAAAAGTTTCTATCAAATCTTGGTTTTCCAAAAGCTGGACGATGGTTTTTGACATTTTCTCACTCATCTCAGCTGCCTTCTGTGTGACTTCCAACTCCAGTTTAAAACGTGTCCAGGCAGATTTCCCTTCCCTCTGGATAATTATCAGCTGGGCTACGAAGTTCTTTAAAAACTCTTTATCAAAACCAGACTCACCGCCGAGTGTTACTGACGTATAGGACGGGGATGTTTCTTTGATGTACCAGCTGTCCGTTGTTCTAATGACAGTCACCTGGTGGCCCCGCAAGTGTAATTCTTCTATAAGAATTTTCATGTTCACCCAGTGGCTCCCGTCCAGTGGAAAAACAAGTATTTTACCACCAATAACCAGAGTGGTACTGGTCAAGCACAGGGTGATCCAGACCAGGGGCCAGTTCATTTTCATTCTAGGGTGAAAGAAAATCATTATAAAGTCAAAAAGATTATATCTTAAAGTGCAGCAGAATCTGTCATTAAACTCTCACTCTTTCAACTTCACACAGGCTCAAACAAACAACATCACAAATACAATGTGACCAAATATTTAAGATAACGCTACCTTTTCTGGTTGCCAGTGCAGTTTTCCACGTCCTGTTCCTCTGGCAGAGAACAAATATGTGTGTGTTCTTTAAAGACCTGACTCTAAATGGACTTTGGTACTATTTATGTTAACTATTTATGGACTGGAGATAAGAACAAAGGTTATTGGTTCGGTTACCATGTCACGCAAAGATTACTATGTCACGCAAAAAAGAAGGTTTGTGAAGCTATCGTGACAAATCTGCCCCTGCACTGTCACGATAGCTCCACCAACCTTTTATGGCTTTTACATAACTGCACGAGCGCCTGTGTTTTAAAGGTGCAGTGTGTAAGATTTCATCCATTTTGACGATGCTTTCATGGACGTACATTACGTCGTGTGACCATATGTTATTATCCTAGATCATTATTTATTCGTATATTCAAATAAGGGCTTTCAAAAGAAATCAATCATTTTAATTAATTTGCGGAATGAATGAGAATACAGTTGTTGGTGCATTTAACACATGGGCAGAATGAACCGCACCGTACTGTACAGCCAATATTTCCACTGTCATTTCTTCATTCAATCAATTCCCAAGTTGTCATGTACACATAATGAAGAGTGTTCATTCAACCAAGGCCCCTGGAGGTCTAAATAACACCTCAACATTCAGCAACCGTTTACAGAGTCTTCAACTGGTCAGATGCCACAGTTGAATCAGACCATCACACTGAGCATAGGGCAGTAAGACCACAGATGGATGGCAGACAGGCTTCTTCAAAGTTTTGTAAATAACTCTTGACGGGTTCTCCAAATTTTTGTTGTACAATGACGATAAAGAGAGTTCTATACTTCTATTCTGTCAAGATACACAGTAATGACTAAAAAAAACTATTTTTTTACATCAATAATTCCATCATCTGGATTAGTCAGAAAATATATTTGTCATGTTTAGGAATGAGGACTTATTTAGATTAAACGATGATTAACATGGATCAGCTTGGCCTCCTGTAATCCG